CATAACAGGTTTGGAACCCTTAAGCCACCAATTTGCCAACTTGTCCATTGCCCTTATGTTTTTGACTTGATATTACTGTGATGCGAAAAAAGAAAATTTTTTATAAGATTAAAAACCTCTTGTTTCGTTGTTTATTTAACTTTGAATAATTATAGGTAGAATCAATTTTTGAAACCAAAATTTGTGTCAAATATATGGTAGCCATGTATCATGATAGCTATGTATTATGATGTAGGTCTTATACATTGTTAATGATTGAAAAATATTCATCTTAAGATTTTCGTATTAAAATTTAGTTTCAAAAATCATTACTCTTTAACATTATTTTTTATGCAAAATGATTTGTTGGTCATTGTTGTTATAATCACCTTTTTATCCATTGACAAAATTGAAACCATAAGCAATTTTATCAATTGATTTTATTTTATCAACTCTAATAGAAAATAATTTTTATGTATTTTATTAACTCTAATTAAGAATAGTTGTTATACACACAAAAATTAAGTGTATAAAATAATAAACAAAAAATTATTTTTAATTTCAAATTGCACTATTTTATAAAATATTATTTATTAAATTAAGAGAGCCTCTAATATTTAATTAGTTCAAAAAAAATATATATACGAATGTATTAAGAAGGAAATTTATTTTGTTTTACTTTTTTTTTTTTTTTTGATAAAATGAAGAAGGAATTGACAAATTAGAAAACCAAACGTGGTGTTAGAGGGCGGTAGGGTTTAGATTTTGGATGGAGGGAAAAGCTATAGGGGTCCAAAGGAAACCCGGAACGCAGGCACCTCTGTCTCACTTTCATGGCACTCCGTCTAAGACTTCCTTATCTTCTTCGTCCCCACCTCATGGCCTCTCGTTCTCGTTTCTTCACTCACTCTGCTTCTCTCAGCCCCTTCTTTTGCATCTCTCGCCCCTCTATCTTCTTCACGCCCAGGTTTTTTCTTAATCCTTTTTTGCCTTTGCTTGTGGGTTTTGTTTTGTTGTTTTCTGTTTGTTTCCCGGATAAACGCCGGAAAACGGGCTTTTCTTAAATGGGTTTCTTGAATTTTATTTTATGGTTGCTGGGGTTCAGAAATAGCGCAATAGTCTGTGGTTAGTGGATACATTGAGGAACTTCTTTTATCTTGTGTATGGGGTTACTAGTTATGCAAATATAGAGTTTTAAGTATGCAGTTCCTTGCAATTAAACAGAGTATTAGCAGCTTGTTTTGCAATTTTATCTGCTTTTGTGCTTTATATAACTTCTTGTTGATCTGGGGCTACTGGTTTCCAGGACAAGTTTTTCATTGAGGAGTATTTCGGCTTCAAATGGACTTTCTGTTAGAAATGTGGTTTCACCAATGGCGTTTATGTCATCTACCATTTCAACTGAAGCTTTTCAAGAAAGAAGCGGCTCAAAAGCATATGGCTCTGAGCAAATTCAGGTTGTTTAGCTAAAAAACGTGACTTTGATAGTGCAATAATTCGAGAAGATGTGTTCATGTGATGACTTAGAAGCAATAACTCATTAGATGTGGCTACTTTTACTGAAATTCTCAGTGAAATATTGTTGCAAACTAAGTTTTTCCTTTTTGGGTTTGTTAAGGTACTGGAAGGCTTAGATCCTGTTAGAAAAAGGCCAGGCATGTATATTGGAAGTACAGGACCTCGTGGTCTGCACCATTTGGTAACTACTTTTTCTAGTCATGTTTTTAGAATTATTATTATATTCAGATGGTTTGTCTTAGGCTATGAAGAAGCAATAACTATTTTGGTTATGCTTTTCCTTAGGTTTATGAAATATTGGATAATGCAGTTGATGAGGCTCAAGCAGGTTATGCTACACATGTAGATGTTATTTTACATCCAGACGGTTCTGTTAGCATAGCTGACAATGGGCGAGGGGTATGGTCACTTTCTATTACTTTTTGCATATAATTATGTTCTTTATTATGCTATGTATTGTCGAATATATAGAGAAAAACTAATATTTATTGTTGAATATGTACAGAAAAACATGTTAACTTCAAATATCATTTTATATATTCTAATTCCAGTGGTTATGTCAAGTATGTCCTGATTTATGTAACATTCTGATTTCTCTATGCCTATAATGCCATCAAATCATTTTATGGTCATGTATATGCGGATTCTACAGTTAATGCTTATTACGTTGACATGCATATGTTATTGTCTCATTTGTTGTAGTTGTTGATGATTTGTATTACATGCTGGTGTCATCTCCTCTATGTTGAAATGCATGCCTTATCCATGGCATATAAGCCTTCAACTGCTGCTTTCTTGGCTTTTCCTGCCACTCTTTTCTCATCTTGGCATAATGAGAGTATATTCTAAACTTAGTAGTTATTCATGGCATTATTCAAGGTTCAAACTCCAATGCTAGTTTGTAGACTAGGAAATTTTCTTTTTGGTATTTTTTGGAAGAACTAGGCTCTTTCTATGCTCTAAATGTGTTTAACTACTCTTCTTTTACATTGTTTTGCTTGTAAACTGCAGATTCCTACTGACTTGCATCCTGTGACAAAGAAATCTTCCCTGGAGACAGTATTGACGGTATTATTGTGTAAATGAAAATTTCCTTTTTATCTTTTTATATAGAGGTTTGTTGGAATCTACTTCACAAGTTGTATTTTGCTATCATATGGTTCAGGTCTTACATGCAGGTGGCAAGTTTGGTGGTTCAAGTAGTGGCTATAGTGTGTCTGGTGGCTTGCATGGTGTGGGTTTATCAGTTGTTAATGCCTTATCTGAGGTGCGACTTATGTTCTAAATTGTGAAGTTTTTTGGACAAAAATGTCCTCTCTTTTTTTTTTTTTATCATTTAGGCATTTGGGCAAGGCAAGCTGCTAAATTGCACCTTGAAATCCTCAAGGTGAAATGACTTAGCAAGTTCCTCTTCTTTGACGCCAACATCAGTACCTTAAGTGAACTAATAGGCACTTGAGAAGAAAACTTTCATAGACTACCCACTCTTTTATGTGAAATCTGTAGAAGTTATCCTCATTTAAACCATACGAATTAAGGGTATTGTTTTCCTACTCCCATTGCTATTCTTCACTTCTAAAGCAATTGAAATCTATGGACAATTATTGGTGAGAGTCAATAGTCATTTCTATGTTTGTGGCCAAAAAAAAAAAAAAGAAGAAGAAGAAAGAAAGAAAGAAATAAAGAAATGTCTGTAAAAAAATTTAAATATTCTTAATAATTCAATTGTATTCATGTATTTTTATTTACTATTATACTATATTTATAATACCACATAGAATTATAAGTTAGGTGGCATTTAATAAAATATAATGTGACATTAAATAAGTGGATGCATATGACATCAAGATGGATTTCTAAATAAAAAGAATTAATTATATAATTACATATCATGTTATAAACTTATAATATCACGTGACATTATAACTATAGCATTTGCATTTATTTATTATAAATCAATTTAAGAAACACTTCTATTTTAATTTTAATTTTAGATGGAACACTCTTGTAATATGTTTGGTTTGAAG